GCAGTGCTTATTGATCCAATAGAATAATTGTTTTATTTGATTTTATTAAGTTTTTATTTGTCAAACTGAAACAGCCAAAAAAAGGAAACCAGCAGAATTGTATGAATTTCTTTACGTCCATTGTTCAGGTGAACTTTCCAATGGAGTCCAGGGCTCTTCTACTTCGGATCCAAATAATGAAGGGAGGCTTATTAAGTTCTCGGGCATAGGTCCAGTCGATGAGAGTGGAATGCCCATCGCCTCTAGATCGGTAAAATATAAATTACCAGAATTTTTTTGTTAAAAATAACATGATCCAACAAATTCATCAGGTTAATTTCCTTTCTCTGCTCCTCCCTGAATGCACCAGAGCGTGAACAAGCCCAGGGACTGGTACAAAAGCATGTTCAGACAGATCCACAAGAGACCAGAGGGTAAGAAACTCTTTCTCTCCTTTATTTTTTACTGTGGCAAATACAGAGTAAATTCCACTGTGTCAATATGTCAGATTCTGAGGAGGTTAGCAGGAAAACTAATTATCACTGTGGTAAAAATAAAAGGCTTTTAAGGTCTCTGTAAGTTTCTGTTCATGAGTTCTGACAGTAATCCACCTACTTTTCTCAGCTCCTCCCAAATCTTAGTCATTTGTCTTTTTCATGTGCTGTGAAAAACATTTTTTTTTCCTGCTGCAATTCCTGCAGGAATTTGGATGTTTAGGTTTTGAAGAGATCTTTCTTGTTTGTTTTAGCTTATTAGGTGTTGCTGTGGCAACATACATTTATCAAAAACAGAAAATACTAAATGTCTTACAAAGATTAATAAAATCAGTCATGTAAGGTTTTGCAAATGGAGAATTTGCACACAATTTTACATTTTGCTTTATCATGTTGACCTATTACATCTGTCCTATTCTGTTACATTTTACTTTTGTGAAAAGTTTCAAATGAATCTCTCTCTTTACCTTTAACCAGAGCTGGAGGATTCAGAGCGGTGGTCCTCAGAAGGTGAGTTAATCCTTTATAATGCTTGTCAACATTGTGTGCAATCAGTGGTTGCTTTAGGATTTTTTGTGTGATTCACAAATCCACAGGCCTCCAGTTCTCTGCAGAAAGAGATAAAATCCTCCAAGAAGACGACGGCCTCTTCAGACTAACGCCTTATGGATCCCTGCCAGATTGGTGAGTTCAAGAGACAGGCTGAAAAGCAGCACTATGAGAAAGGCTGTCACTCATTTCACATCTTTATTTCTAAAAAGGCTGTACAGGTTTGGTCCAAAGCGAACAAAAGAAAGGAACATATTTTACAGAAAAAGTTTGATATTTTGAGAATATTTCTTTAATTGATATGGATTCTTTAGTATAATACTTGTACCTATATTGTAGTTTGGGATTAATGAGTGGGACAAAAAACAGATGAGACTAATGAGCTAACTATAAACAGCTGAGAGCAATCAGAGAGCAAAGACGCAAGGAGATGGAAGGCAGAACAGGAACTGTGTGCTAACAGAGCTCAGAGGGATATAAGAAAGACTGGACACCTAAAGGAGACCTGATATCAGAAAGAAACAGCAGAAAAAGGAAAACCAAATAACAATAATAATTAAAAAAATGAAGCTACTAGTAAGAAATCCATGAAAACTTTAAATGCAAGAAATGTTACAAGATACACATAATAAAGAAAACCTCGAAAAAGTATTCCTTAATTATGTCCATCAAGGTTCCACACCTTGATATCAACAGTCAGGTTATCCAAAATCCTGTTAAATATCCTAAATATTTGTTTCAATTGTGTTAAAGAGGAGGCTCATCCAAAAGGTTTAGGTTAGGAAACCCGGGACCAAACATTAGGTGTGACTTCTACTGTTGGAAGAAAGGATCACAGACTTTCTGGTGTCAGTTTGAGAGACACAACTTCATAGTTATATCCTGATAATGAAATCTATCAGAAAACAAATATAAGTTCTGTTTATACTTTCAACTTCCTGCAGTTTTGCTTTATTAGCCTTTTTTTGTTGTCTATTGAAAGTAATGTTTGTGTTTTGCACACTGTACGCTGCACAAGTTTTAACATTAATGTGTGTGCATGTCCCTGCAGTTCGTGGTCACTTAATTTAAAAAAGAAGCTCCTTCAAAACTTATCTGTTTTCTCTGGATCAAAGCATCTCATCGTAATTTTCCCTAAATTGTTTCTTCACCTTCTCTCTGTCTCACATTAGCAAGTTTAGCTTTATTGTTGGTTGAAGCACAAGAAAACATCTACAGCTTTGCAAGTAAAATGTTGCTTTTATTTCCTCGTATAGAAAACAGTTTTTCAGTGCTGAAAGATGAGTCATGCTGTTTTCAGTCTTTCTCCACTGGGTTCATGTCAGACTCTACTGAAAAGCTGAGCGGATGCTTCATTCTGAGTAAAAGCCAAAGTAGAGTTACTTTGAGGAGATCCATCATCCAGAGTAGAGCTCAGAACAGCTTATTCACATGAACAGAAATTTCTTGAGATAGTTCAGGCATTTAATCAGGATCTCAACCAGGCAACTCCTTTTTGGACTTTTTACAGACATCCTCCTCTGGGTGGACCCAGAACTTGATGGAAGGGACGACATATATCTCCTCTGGCCTGGGAGGGATTTGAGACCCTTCCAGAATTAGCATGAGTGTGTTGCAGAGGAGATTAATGTCTGGATTTTTAATCTACCTTTAAGCCCTGCAAGCTTAAATGAGAAATTAAGATAAAAATTTAGAATGAGCTCTGTGCCTTTACCTGTGGCTTGGATCGATAAGCGAAAAGTTTATCTGTAAATTTCTATGATGATGTTTGTTATTGCAGCTTTGGATTATAAGTCCTTTAAGGGTAGAAAATAACTAGAAAAAAACGTGGAAGAGATATAATCCATATATAAAAATTCACCTGTAAGCCTCCATCACACATTATTAGCATTTTATATGCAGCAAAGACCCTTTTTGTGCTTTGGACTTGCAACCAAAGTAAAAAAAAAGAAAAGCTATTTAATTTAATTGCATAATAAACACAACGTGGTTCTAATTTTATTTTCAACCTTGAATCATAAGTTATGAGGCATGAAGAGGAAAAAACGACACCTAAACTAACTCAAATCTACCATAAAATGTGCCCAAGGATGCTTTTCTCAGAGGAGCCCTTTGTGAGGAGTGAAAGACATTGCTGATCTAACTGTGGAGAGTTAAACCAATCAGAATCTAGTATGAGACACTTCTAGGATTTACATGTTTTTTAGATATCAGTCAAAAGACTTTTGCTTGAGTAGTCAATATCCAGCATGGATAGGCACATAGACCAAACAAATAATTTACATAGTTTTTCTTGTTTTTAAATTAGCTACTGTGTTGACTTTGTGCTGGTGAAGATTTTCAGTCATCCAGGTCATAGTGATAGCCGGAAGGAATCAACTCAGTTGATTCAGTTGATTCCTTCCCCCTATCATCGCAACCCCCTCCTTGCAGGGGGACAGAACACCTCACCTGTTTAGCCAGGCCAGCAATTCCCTTTAATGATCCCCCTTTCAGAAACAGTGACGGTATCGGGTATTACAGGCTAACAAAGAAACCAAACGACCCTCATTTCAAAGGGGCGGAACTGTTCATCCGGTTCAGTTTGCATGTTTTCTAAGCCAAAACAAGTTTTTTTGGGTCCACTCTATAAACCCTCAAACTCAAACTGACATTTGAATTTAAAAAAGCTTCCTGGATGAGAAACGAAACATCTTCAAACTTGGAAATAAAGTCAAGCAAATTGTTTTTTAACTTTTCTGGAATGTGTTGACTTTCTTTTAGCGTAAGAATCCAAGAATAACTCTTACCAATGTTGACTCTTCTTTTACGTGATGCACACCCCAGCTGACTGCTTCTGCGGATGCCAACTAAAAATTAGTGCCAAATCCTGTGCAGGAAAAATTTGGAAGACAAGTTTGGATTTGTTGTTACAGGCACTCACAATGAAGCCACATCTAAGCTGCTTTCTATGTGTTCCTGTGGTGTGTCTGTGTGTGTTTTTGTGTCTGTTGGGGTGTTACGTTTTAGGACCGAGGATGTAGATAAGCTGTCAGACCCTGGAAAGCAACACCATCAACCCAGGAGCATATTTGACTTTGAGCCTGAAAGGAGCTCCACTTCAGTGAATAACAGCCAGGTACGGACCTCCCACTCTGTCACGTTTTAAATATAGACTCTGATAAAGCTCTGATATTTCATATTTCCCATGTCTTTATATGGATCCAGGGTCATGGTTGGAGATGTTCTCACTAATTCTTTACAGTCTGTTTTCGAAGTGAGGAGCTCATGAACAAATCGTTCACCTTTTCTTGAAGGATTATAGTCTAACTCCTCAGATTACATCTTCTCACGCAATGCTGCCTGTAAATTCTCAGCTTTATCTGTGTTCGGATGATTTCTTACTGCAAAATGAGCCCAGTTCTTTTAGTTATTGGATTCAATCAAGTTAAACATAATTTCAGAAAAGAAAATGTAGAATCTATGCTTATTACCAGTTTATGCAGATTGTAATAGCCTGTTATTGTCACAGAGTTAGTTCGCTGTAATCCACTACTTCTTTTTCTGGGCCATTTCTTTTATGCATGGAGCTGCAGAACTCTGAAGACAAGAAATCTTTGTTTCTACTCCCCTGGAAACTGATTGGTCTTGTGATTTGCATTAGGTGTTAATGCGTTCTAGTACAAAACTGCTCACAGCAGGGGGACTTACTTCATTTTGTATTTATGGTCTACATTCTGGAAATAAAACAGCTCACAGACCATATCAGGTGTTGTGCTGCTTCAGTGTGACACAGTGGACAGGAAGACTCCAGTAGGTCTGGTATTCAGAGAGATGGATTCAGCCAAGGTTTTACAAAAAGGGAATAAGCAGTTTGTGGTCCTCAGCTACAGTGCCTTTTATAGTAATGGGATAGAACTAGAATATAAAAGTGTAAAGTCTTTGTTGAGAAAGGGAGTATAGGAAATATTGTTGAGGTTGTAAAAAAGGAAATATGAGTTGGTTTATTCCTTGGATCCCAAAACTATGCTCTGGTTTTCTTTAAATATAAGACTTTGATCTCTGCATGCTGGAATTTGTCCTTTTTATTATTGTGTTAAGATGGTTATGATGAGTGGCTGAATTTATTTGTTGTCCAGACATATTGCGCCAAATTGGCTTAAGGCCTAAGGCAATACACACACACACACACACACACACACACACACACACACACACACACACACACACACACACACACACACACACACACACNCACACACACACACACACACACACACACACACAGCTCCCTTGAAATATGTTTTTGCTTTAGAAAATTGAATATTTGCAGTTCCTTTAAAACGCTGAACTTTTCTTTATGATTCTTTTCAACATGATTTTTGGCACTGGAATCAGGTTCATATATATATATATTTTTTTTTTTTCAATGTCAAATATATAAACTCACCCCCATTAATATGTGGATAAATATCCTTTGGCAGGCATAAAACGAATGCCTCTAGTAGCCATAAAGCAACTTCTGGCATCTGGTTGTATAACTGACCACTCCTCCTATCATAAATTGTAAAGTATATAATACTTTTGGTTGGATGTTCGCAGCAAAGACCAGGCTTTTAATCAAAATTACATCTTTTGAGTATAACTCATACGGAGGCATCTCAAGGAGCTTAATGCTGGCTGGTTTTAGATTCCTAAGCAAATCTGTGTGCTTGAAGTCATTTTAATGCTGAAAACCAAATTGAGGCTTCAAATTAGCTGATTTGAGATGCAGTATAAGAAATGAAAGGCAATCCTACCACAATATTATTCCTCTCATTTTGTCGACAGCTGGCATGGAGATTGTCCCACCACAGGATCCTGGAGGAAAACATTTTTATTTATTTTTTGTTAGAACCCTCTCAGTTGTCATTAATGTTAAACTTGCTTCATAGTGGATAAAAACTGTTACTATGCAGAGGCTTCCAGGTTGTTGTATTTTTGGGCTGTTCTCGAAAATGTAATGAAGCAGTTTCCTATAAAATCTAACTGAAAGGTAAAAACATGCAATACAATGTTCTTCTAAACTGGAGGTCTTCAACAGGGGGTCCGCAAACCCCAAGGGGGTCCACGGAGGTACTGCATGATGGTCACAAAAGTTTTGGTTGATTAGACTTTTTTTTATATTCCCCCCTGTAATTTTTTTCACTTATTGAAATGTCTTTAAACACATTAACATGAATTCAACACACTGTAGTAAACAGATAAATGGAGGCAGAAGATGTCCTTCGGTCATTAACGCACACATTCAGCGACCAACAGGAGCTCTTTTAAGCTGGGCACCGCTAATAGACCCTTGTATTTCGACCCCCAAGGACCACCAAGGGGTTTGATCCTTTCCATACATCTAAACAGGATAAATTCATTCACAACACCTGTCCCATCAACGAGGAATCAGAATCAGAAATGCTTTAATAATCCCAGGGAGAAATCACTTTCGTTATATTACTCCATTTGTAATAGAGGGACTATACAGTAGGACCAGGAATTACCAGGAATTGAAATACAATTTCATACAATATAAATAATTAGGGGGTCCCCACTCCATCTGAGCATCAGCTTGGGGGCCCTTGGCCTGGAAAGCGTTGGAGATTCCTGCTCTACAGACAACTCCTTAAAGGTGATAGCTACAAGTTGAACTCCTCCCAGCCAGTCGGTGGCACACTCATGTTCACCCACTCTTTTTTTGTATTATTTGCCAGGCGGTTACAAAGTCTGCTAATGCAAACTTCAGTTAGCATTAGCAGCATTAACCTGTTTGGAAGAAAATAGTCAACTACTGTACAGTATGTGGGGCTTTTTTTTCTTCCTGGCTTTAATATAAGTAATGTAATTCTGAGTTATTTCAGCTCTATTATGCAGCTACCACTATCTTGCAACTCCTGATCTCCATTTCATGTAGCTTTAATCTTTAATTTCATTTGCTGTAGAATTCCTTAATGTCAATGTTGGCATTATAACCTGAATTTTTTTTTTTTATTTGGATTTACGAATCCAAAATTTAATACACAATTATTTTAATTCTATCATTTTTTTTTTTATAAAATGAAAACTTTTATCCTGCACCACTCTTGTTTTGTGGGCATGTTATTTGAGAAAAAAAAAACTTGCTTTGGCAAAAAAAAACTAAATTAAAAAAAACCCAAGTCAGAAAGCAATTAAGCTAATTTAAATAAGCTGTGAATATCTGAGAAGAATATGGTCAGAATTATATAATTTTCATCAGTGGTTACAAAATTTTGATTGAACAGATTACAAAATAGTATACTCCATTTGTATGTTGCTCTTCTAGTATTTTCCACCAATCAAAGGGCTTTACACTAGAGCCACATTCTCCCAGTAGCACTCACAAAAGCACAGATATGTGTTTATCATGCACTGATACACATGTGCAAGCTGAGCAACTTAAGGTTCAGTGCCTTGTCCCAATATATTTTATACCAATTTTAGATTAAATACAGGTTCATAGGGTTTATGACTTAAACATAATTTATTCTACTTTAATTTGATTTTTAAAGAGCTGTTATTTAGGGTTATATTCCAGTAAAAACTGCTTATGGTACACCATAATGTGGTATTTTTTTATGAGCAAGTTGATTTCCAATCTGAGGCCTAAACCGACTGCTGTGTGGTTTTTATTTCTTCCCTAGGTTCATTTGTCCCAGAAGAGACAGGCTGAGAAACCAAAATCTCCTTCAATTGAGGTGAGCATCTACAAGACAAACAAGATTTTGCTTTTTTCTATTTCATGCTAAAAATATTTGATTTTTTTAAGCTTAGAGAGGAAATGACAAGCTCCAAATATCAGGCTTTGTGGTAGAATTTTATTCTTGCATTCCAACACTGTAATTGCTGGGGCTCAGGCCAGTCTGCAGTCTGAGCTGAACCAGTTAGAAGCAGAGCTGGACTCGGAGATTCAGGGCCTGGAGAGGACTCTTTCCCAGAAGAAGCAGCGTCAAGGCCGGGGTGAGGTACTGAGCCCCCATACCGAATTTCTTTGCTAAGAATCACTCCTCCAACCCGTCCCACTTTGATTTAGCAGAACTCCAGCACTCCTCACTTCCCAATCATAGCTGCGTGATCCCTCTGCTTACCAGCTGTTAATATGAGCATTCTTTTTTTCTCTCTTACTTGGATGATTGCCTGAGAACTGCCTGCCTGATTTGCACTCAGATTGATCTATTTTCTAATTCACTTGCTTGCAACTTCTCCACAGCAAATGCAAAACTTTTAGTAGAAAATAGCAACAACAAAAAACACAACTTCTTGATTAGGTAGTTTAGTACTTTTCCTTTTAAATTCTTACAGCAAGAAATTCAGGTTAAGTGTCATGTTTCCTTTCTATGTGATTGAATCAGACTGAAACTCTCAGGCAGCCCAGACAAACCAAGAGCAGTGCTGCTGTTTGTAGCCGAGGAGCATAGGACCCAGGGGATTTCCTTGCACTGTTGGGAGTGGTCAGCACCTCTACTTTGTCTGAGTTGTTGTGAGATTTCCTCTGAACTGTGAGAACATACAGAAGGCTGAGAGCCTCTGCAGGGAACAAACTGGGTGTTCACACAGTATTCCCTCTGTTTGCAGGAGGCCACAGGCAGGGATCCAGTAGCTGTTCCAATGGCTGCCTCTGCAAACCACAGGTTAGTAAGCATAGAGGTAGAAACATTTCAAGAAAATATGCAAGTTTTATACTATATTTGTGATTTGAGATGCCTATATACTGTCATGCATATGCAATATACTGTAGAATCGATGCATTATATGAGTGGAAATATGTAAACAAAAATAGATTTGACTCGTTTAACAATTCAAGTGTCCTTTAAAGTGTTGTGAATACTGTTAACCCTTTTAAGGCTGATGGAAGCAGTAATAGTTTGAGATCCAGATTTTTAAATTGTTAATTGACTGTTAGAATAAAATCCACATGATTTTTTAAATATATGTTAATATCATGAATATAAACTCCAGGCTTATGTGGTTGTCTCCTATGCATCATATTAAACACATTGTGCAGCGGTTTAAATGCTTCAGGAACCTCGAGGCGAGGTTTTATCAGAGTGGATTTAATTTGAGAAGATTAACTGGTTATGAAACAGCTGTGTCTTCTAGTAGATTTTACCTGTAATATACGATGATGGTCTTTTAAAAATTAAAATTGGTCCCCAACTGTCAGTGCCAATAGACCCTTGTATTTCGACCTCCAGGGACCCCCAAGGGGTTTGATCCTTTCCATACAGAACAGGATAAAACAACCTTCACATAGTATTAGCCAGATGTGACAAAAAAAAATTAAAATATTGGTGTTTTGTTAACCCATTTTCTTTAGGTTCTTTAGGCCAACTGAGTCCTACTGGGCTGAACATTTTGTAATATTTTGTAACGAACTAATGCAAACCAGGAACTTTACAATTCATTATTATTATTTGTTTATTTGAGTAGCAAACAAAGACAACAAACAACAAATGCCACCACAGCAAAATACGTTGAAACTCAAGGGTAGGTTGAAGTTCACAGAACTTAACAAAAACCCACCCCTGACTTATCATACACAAAGCAGCAGTTAGATTTTCACCTTACAAAAGCTGTCAACAGTTTGACTCTTTATAGATACCAGCTACCAAAAGGTGAATAGCATCTATTTGTAAGCGTGTATTATTGTACAAATTATACATTTGAAACGTTGAAAGGAAAACAAAAACATTTACTAAGCACTTTCTTAGTTCTTCAACAGGTCCACAATACCACTATTCTATTAGTTATGATTGTGCAAATGGAAAAGAAGTAAAGAAATAAAAACAATTTAGACACTTGGATATACAGTAGCTAAATTCACCATATGAAGAAAACTGTTATAATAAAAAAAATATCCAATTCCTAAAAAGCTTGAGCCTCTGTTTTTCTGTTCTTTTATTATAGATGTAAAATAAGTTAATTTATGCAAACTAATATTGAGAAAAGTTAAAACTTTCTTAGAAAGGACACCTTTGGCATTTTTTTAAAACAAAAGTTAACAGTTGTGTCCTGTTCTTTCCACTTCACTGTTACAATGAGGCACGTTTCTGACGTGCTAGGATTACAAGCTAGGGTTACAAGCTTTCCAACAAGAAATTTGTGAGGAGATTTTTTCTCCAGTGCTTTTCAAATCACTGTTTATACTGCTATAAATGTAAAGGTCATCAGTTTATAATCGTTTCGCTGGTAAAACCTGATATTAGTGCTGGATTTAAATTTAGAATAACATTTCACTTTTAGATTAATAATTTCCACTTAAACAGTTTCGATCGATTGAAGCTTTGAGCTTTCGTTTAATCATAAAATAAACAACAGCATTATTTTGCTTTTGTCTGTTTTTGTTTTTGCTTTAATTCTTGTAAATAACATCACTTTATGTCTGGAAGGTGCTATATAAATAAGCATATTAATCCCGGAAATTATTTGGTCAAACCAGATAGATGTCATGATTTGGGTATGGTTAGTTGACACAAAAACAGAGGCAGGGAGGCAGAGGTAAATTTCTTGTGGATTTAATAATGATTTTACTGAAAACAGAATCAGGTTATCAAAAAACGAAAACAGAGTTTTAAATAAACAGGAAACCAGGAATCCAAAAAGAAAACAAAGTCCAAAAATCCAAAATTCAAAACGTGAAAACTAGTCAAAACGTACCAGAAACCAAGGAGACATCAGGGGATAACTATCATAAGGATGAAGGCTCAGAGAGAAGGAGTTGGAGCATGTTTGATGAGGACCCAGCAAAGAAGAACAGAACACAGAGAGTATTTATAGGAGACTGAAACGAAGAGAGAGCTAATGAGCAGACAGGGAGCAGATGGGCACAGAGCAGGAGAGGAAAAGAGCTAGAGAAAAAGGAGAACACAAGAGGGCAGTAGAGGGCAACAAATAAAAAACCTAGAAAAATGAAAATATCCAGAAAACACAACAAAATAAGAATTAAACCACTAAGACTATTAAACATGGAGGAAAGTAAAAATTAATACTCAAAAGAAAAACATAACAGAGCCAAGACTAAGACATTAATTGAGAAAAAAAACAAAACAAAGAACATAATAACTAAGAATTAAACCACTAAAACTAGAAAACAAGGAACAAAGCAAAACTGGATACTCAAAAGAAAAACATAACAAACCAGAACTCTAACAATAGGCATATCATAGCAAAAAGCTAATAGAAAATCCCCCTCAGAAAAGTTTTCCTGTAAATGTAAATCCCCTCTTAATAATCTTTAATAATGCATCAGTGCTTTCCTGAAGTCCTCCTGCTGTTTCAGGAACCCCAGAACTGTAACTCTACATAACAACACGCTAATAACTAGCCGGGCATCTGTTACATATTACAGTATATCCTTTCTGAGTTTTGTTTTGAAGCTGTAATTGTAAGTAGTTTAATTTTTTTTTTTTTTCTTGAAAGACCAGGACAGCATTTCACATTTCTCACCTTGCATGCGTTGCATTCCTGGATGATTCTTGCAGTTGTCAGCCTAATTGAGCTCTTGGAATGTCTCCTTTTTCAAGTCTTGAAAGGATTTTGCAGTAGATCTGTTATCTTCAACCTCAGCGTTGTGGATTTTTCCTCAGCTGTGCTTGTCCAGCTGCAAGCACAACACAGAACTAGACTGTATCAAAATATTCAAATTACTTTAAAAAAAAAAAAAGAACAAAAAAGGCAGTTTGGCTGAACATAATGTCAGTTAATTCTTAACCCGGGGACAAACCGAGTCATTGTTCTGGTCATGGCTATTATTGGGACCAGATTTATAATGTTGGGAGGTTTTTTCGTTACTATTCCTTTTCAGGGCATTACAGAATAGCTGCAAACAGATAACCTGGACATTAAACCAAATAGATTTGAATGTGCATGCAGTATCGGTGCAACAGTACACTAATACACACCTTAAACACTAGGTACAGCCCTTTGGGTTTGGCAATTACTTGCACCGAACAAACACAGCGTTCTTCTAAAGCTGAACATATGCACAATGTTTATGTGCAAAACTTGAGCCATGATTCATTTCGCAAGCTTAGCAATGAGACACCAATACAAGAAGTATGTGCTTCCAGCTATGACTAAAGTCTTCTTTTTACCATGAAGTAAGAGCATTACTCAACAATATGAAGCTACTTTAAGCTGAATGTAAACACCTCTAGTACTGGTGAAAAAGTCCTGCTGTCTGTAATAGCATTCAGCTAGTGCTTTTCATCGTCTAAGCAATTCCAATGCAGTTTAATAATCTTTATTGTTTAATAACAATTCATTGTTGTTCAAAAGTTCATAAATAGAAACCTTGACCCTTTTTATATAGTTTTCCTGTTTTTGAAAATGATCCAGGCATTGCTTAAACATGATTACCGTTAATTAATTGAACATAATCAATCCAAACGTCTATTTAGTGTCAAAGTTCTAGGATATTACGAGATCAAACAATTTTTTAGATTTCACTGTTACCTAAATTGAAAATATTTAAAATGAAATTCTCTTGATCAAAGTATATCAAAAATGTACCTCCCATCACTTTAAAACGAACTGTGATTTTAGTGCACCATATATCATTTTACTATCATATCATAAAATGTAGGGCTGCAAAGTGGGTAGCACTGCTGCCTTGCAACAAAAAGGTTTGATTGCCCAGGGGCTTTCTGAATCAAGTTTGCATGTTCTCCCTGAGCATGTGTGGGTTTTTTCTGGGTACTCCGGCTTCCTTCCACAGTCCAAAAAAAACAAACAAACAAAAAAAATACATGACTGTTAGGTTAATAGGCTTTCCTAAATTCTCCTTAGGTTTTATCTCTGTGTTGATCATAATACAATTTTTAGTGAACTCAGCACCCCATAGTCAGGGACAAAATTAAAAAGGAGATGTATTAAATTATCTAGTTCTTTTTTTCTATAAAACGGTAAAACAATACAATTATTGACAATTATTACAGCAACTATTAAGCATTAGATTTCATGTGGAAAAGGATCCGCAAGCAAAAAGAAGATAGAGATTATTGTAGTACAAAGGATATTTAATTATAATTTCAAAAAACAATTTGACTAACTAAATTTTCCTTAATCTTGCTTGACTAAGGAATGATGCTTAAAATTATTATCTTGCTTAATACTGGAATTAGGATTACTGGAAATTATTGCTATTGAGTTATGGTTTCAAGTGTTTTATTTGTTTTACTGCCTTCTTCTATCTTGTTTTCACTTGTTTTTATGCTCGCTTTTACTCTGCTTTCCTTTAGTTGATGTAAAGAATTTTGAATTTTCTTTGCATACATTTGTAGCTTTCAAACTTTTCTTACCTTGAGTTTGTAAAACAATGTATTTATTGCACTTTGTAAACTGTTTGAAGAGATGCCATGTGTAAAAAAATAAAAACATGGTCAACAGAGTTATCCCTTAAATTTACAACGATAAGCAAAATTCGCAACAGTTAAATCAAGCAGAGATAAGGCATTGTTTAATATGGGAAGTGTTATGATGCAGGTGTGTTTATGTCTTTTATCTGCTTACTTTACTTTTGCCACATTATTTACTTACATTATTTCGGGATCTGCATCTTTTTGTTACGTATATTTTTACATGGCAGCCAAATTATGGAATTTATTTGAAAGAAAAAGGTTAATATTTTAAGGAAAAACAAAGGCAGGACAATTTTATTTGCATTGGTACAGTTAAATTCAGTAACAAGACAATTTAAAGTGCTGTACATGAAAAATACACAAGAAAAGAAAAAAACAAAAGAAAGAAAAAGTTGGACTTTAAACTTAAACTAATGATCTTTTTTAATGTTAATCCACTGATTTAATCTCACCTTTTTTGCCATCTTTCGATGAGCTTTGTTTAAAACACCAACAAAAACACACAGTTTCTAAGAGGTAATCATTACATCAGTTGGGAGACAAAAAAAAAAAAAAAAACCAACAAAAACACACAGTTTCTAAGAGGTAATCATTACATCAGTTGGGAGACAAAAAAAAAAAAAAAACTTGCTAAGGAAAATTATGTCAAAAAAAAAACATTTAGAAAGAAAAATTGTTTGTTTTAATTGTTACATTGTTGTTGTGATGTTTTTATAAATGTAATTCCAAACTATAGGATTAATTAACATCAGTCCACAATCCCACATTGATCAATAAAAAACAAACTATAGATTCATTAGGTAGAAACAGCCAGATCCAATAACAGAGAGAAAATAAGGGACCTAAAACCTGAAGATGATTACTAGGACCAGGAACAGGTAAATCTGATTAACTGGATATAAGATAGCTGTAAAGGGGAAGCTGGGAAGAACTTATTGAATGAGAAGCTAACAATAACTGATAACTAGATACCATAAAGAAAGACAAGAATGAAGGAAAGGGGGAAAAAAACTGATGCTGCACATCATTGCAGATAGTAGCTAGTTTTACAATAACCTATTGCACAAAACTACATTCACTGCAAAAACAATCTAAAAATGAGTAAAGAGTTCTTAAAATGAGTGTATTTACCCTTAATTTGAGTATTTAAATAATATGGTATGCCAATGGAATGAGCCTTTTTACTCTTAAAAATAGATAAGTGTATTGAATTTGGTGCAATATAAGTAAACCGATCTGAAAATTGAATTGAATAATTAGGTATTATCCACTTAAGAGACTGCAGGAGATTTTTCTTATTTTAATAAATTGTCTTATGCCACTGGCAAAGTTTCTTTTACCTACTCAATACGAGAAAAAAGGCCTTTATTTTACGAAAAAACGACTTACTTAGATTTCTATATTTTTGCAGTGTTTGTGTTCTAATATTCTGTAAATGCATTTGTCTCTGAAGTGCCTGCAGTCAGCCTTCTAACAGAGATGCCACTCATATTCTGCTGATTGTATTTTTAAAACAGAATTCCCTTCACATGGCTGATCTCCTTCAGTTTCTAAACTCATGACTCTCTGGTTGTGAAACCAGAAACCCTTTCAAACAATCACATTTTTCTTAGAAAGAAAGAAATGGAAAAGTGCAGTCATCTTTCTTTTTTAGCCAGTAAACTGTCAGTGTGAAGCAACACGTGGGGGAGGGGGCACCGCCGCATTAGTTTGTCCCAGACAGATAAGATAAATGTTAGGAATTCTTGTTCAGGACTTTGAAGGAACGATGTGACAGAAAATGTTAGAGGTTTTTGATATGTTTACCCTTTAAAACCTTGATGATGTTGATGACTAGTAATTGTATTTTTGTAATACTTTTATTAGAAATTCTTTTCTCAAAACTAATCAAGACTCCTTCTTTCTTCACTTTTCCAGCAGCCTGTCATCATCTAAGCATCCTGTCCAGCGTTTTGGTGGTTTACCTTCGCCTTCTGCTACTGCACATGGTAAAAACAAAGAAAATGCTTTCAAACCTTTTATGCTCAGAAACACCAGAATGGAGACTAATTTTGAAAACAATAATTCGTTGTCTTTTATTTTCCACACTTTTTTGTGCTTTCCTCTCTTTCCTGAATAACTTCCCTTTTATTGATGTATTTAGAAACCATCCAACTTGTCCAGTAAATTCGATGAAAGCTTTAAGTAATCTAATATATCCTGATGGTCTCATGGTTCAACTTTATTGCTCATGTGCTGTTCCTGCCAGCACTTTCCTGAGAAGACCGTGCTGAGATGGTGGAAAGTCTTAGCAGTTTTTCCTGTAGAAACAGCTGTTAATGGGTGGGGAGGAAGCTCACAAAAATAGGAAGTGAAATTTCGAGGAGCTGATTAAAGATTAGCTTTATCTAGGGTTTTTTTTGTTTTCCGGGAAGTTCAAGTACCGTTTTGAATTTTAGCCTTTGTTAAGACTGCAATGGCTTTCGGATTCCTTGCTATTTTAGCAAAAACTAAGCCAACAAAACATACATATCCTCCCCTCCATTGATCCCTTTGTTCTGGCTTTGTGTTTTTCAGTAGGACGTCCCTCCTCTGCAAATGAAACCACGGAGCCTCCATCAAAGAAAGAGGAGAAAAGGGTATTTTTCCTCAATATTATCTGTTGCATTGAAAACGAATAGTCTTTTTATAGGTTTAACAGTTTTTTTGCGTTTGTAGATGAAAGCTGCAAGAGTCAAGTTTAATTTCCAGGCTCAGTCACCAAGGTGAGACATGTAGCAGGGAGGTCAGGCCTGCAGGCTACAATAATGCTACAATTTCATTTCGTAAAATGATTTTTTTCCCTCTTCTGTTCTTGTGCTGTACATAGAGAGCTCACACTGCAGAAAGGGGACATTGTTTACATCCACAGGCAGGTTGATGCCAATTGGTTTGAGGGCGAACATCATGGGAGAGCTGGCATTTTCCCAACTTCTTATGTAGAGGTGAATATCTGTGCTGTTACATTTTTTTCTCTTGAGCTTACACAGCCTTGCAAAGGTATTTTATGTTACAGACCAACATAAAATTGCGCATAGTTCTGTAATCTTCATGAACTCAACAAGAGCATAACCACCTTTTGCTAAATTCAAAGTCGCATTATTTTGTGCTATCTACCAACTTTGCTCATCTAGAGGCCGAAAGTTTGGCCCTTTTTGTATTTAAAAATAGCTAAAGCTTAGTTTTATGGGATTGAAAGCATGAGTGAACTTATATACAGTATTTTGCCACAGTCCTAGCTGTTCTTGCAGTAGGGCTGGACTTTAACTAGACCATGGATCTGCAACCTGGGGCTCCGGTGGCTTTTCCTCACTTTGGCTAAAATTGATGAAGAGCCAGCCAGTTTTTTTAACAATAGATATACTAACAAGTGCATGTTATAGCTTTTATCAAAAAATGATGTTTATGCTCTTTTATGCAATTTTATTTGTTTTATGTAATGCTTTAAGCCCTTTTTTTAACAATTCATAAAATAAATTGACTTTTTTTAAACTGAACTATCCAAAAATAACCCATTCATTGCTTTTCATGAGTTTTTTCCTTTATTTTAAAAGCTAAAATTTGAAATGGCACGGTAGTCATTTAAAAAGAATCAATCTCCTGTGGTATATATTTTAAATGGAAGTTTTCTTATGCAGAACCCCGGACTAGACCATTCAAATGTGATTTGATATAAATCAGTTAATCTGAGCTTTTGGTGTTTCATTGTCTTGCTTTAAGGTACTGTAAAGCGAAGCTCCATGATGTTGTGATGGCATGTTTATGTGATGTGCAGCACTTAATAATTTACATGCAAGAGAAAAAATAGATTCAGGTTTCATCTGAGCAAAGCACCTTCTTTCCATTTATGTGTTCCCTACATATCTTGTGGCAAAAGGTGGCAAACAGAAACCAGTGTTTCCTACAGTTAAACCTTTTTTTTTTCAACAGTAAGTTCTAAAAGCTATAGTTTTGTAGTCCAAGGCAAATATATTATAACATCTAAGCTGTAGATTACTGAAGCTTCTCCATAGTTAATGGCTTCTTGCCTCTAAGTTTAGGTACAGAGCCATGTCTTGAGACACGTCTTCAGATGGAAATGTCTTTGAAATGGTTATATCTTCAGATATTGTTTTAAAATTGAACTCAGCTTTATTTTTATTCAGTCTACTGCATTCTTTGGCCTTCATGATGCTGTATTGTTTTCTTCAGTAATACACACTTGAGGCATTCAGAGACCAGATGTTTTTATTGTGATTAAATAAAAAATAGTTGACACCTAATTAGTGGACTTCTAAAAGTGACAGTTGCAATGCAATTTAGGTATAATTTGTAAATGACTATTCTATAATGTAAATTATTTTTTTGGAGTAATGAGGCTCAAAACAAACACATGCTAAACCATTCTGTTTATTGTTTAGAGATGAAGCTAAGTTTATCATCACAAGAATTTACAAATACACTTTCCTCTGTGTGAATCTATCTTGGTCACATTCAGGTGGATTTTTTTTAAACAAAATGTAAAATAAGTAGAAAGGATAAATTAGTTTGTAAAGCGCCATATATTGAATCTTTCATAACTCTTTAATTTCAGGTTCTGCCTCCCACAGAGAAACCGACGCCGATAAAGTCTCCGACTCTCCAGGTGTTGGAGTATGGAGAAGCTGTAGCTCTTTATAACTTCAACGCTGACCTTCCTGTTGAGCTTTCCTTTCGTAAAGTGAGTTGTTCCTTATCTTTGTTTTCATTTGTTCCTCTGACGTCCGTACAACTCTTTTAGTTTCAGAGTATGATTGAATGGACTGATAGTTTTGCTATCCAGGTGAAAGCATCTGAAAGCTTTGTTGCCATTTATTTAAAAAAAAAACATGTTAAATCACTTTTTTAGCGGTTTGTCAGCTTATTTAGTGATTGTAAAACAGAATAATTAGCTAGTTTGGCTTTGCGTAAAGATCCACCCATGATCACAGCTCAGTCATGATAAGGTCAGGTGTTTTTCTTTATTTCCTAAAATGTGGGGAAATCATATGGAAGCATACAAAGAATTTCCTTCCATTGTTAAGCTCATAAGATATTTCATTATTCCTCCCAAAAACTCTTTTCCAACAGTTTGATTCAAAGAATATGTTGTATTTTCTTCTACAAAGAGTAAAACCTATCACAGAGGAGATAAATCCTAATGACGATTTAAAACAAAAAGCAAAGAGGGTTGAAACCACTGAGAATAAAAAATTAAAAATTAATTGTGCTTATGAACAGGAATACAGTTTACAGCAGTTTTTTCCAGATGCTATATTGAAGTAAATATGAAGAGGATTAAAGTAAAAAAGGTAATTAAATATAAAGTTCTAGATCTGGTATTAGATCACAAATTCTCCTGAAAATGAATGGGAAATATATAAAACATAAATTATCCAGCTCAGTTATCATAAGTAATGTCAAACACATAAAAAAATGACTCCTATTATGTGTTTATTAGATTAAATTGATTAATATAATTCCTTTATTTTACAAGTTCATCTAACTGACAAAGATAAAGATGTTACTTTTCCCATCTACTCTGATCCGTTTAGTTTCTCTATATTTATCTTTTGCCTGCCTGTGGCATGTTTTTATAGTCAATTGTGTAACAAAAGCAAATCAAAAGAAACAATGTAAAAATAGACGTCATGGCTTTTTAAGAAACGACAATAAATAGATTATATTGCATTATATTGCATAGCAGATCTAAGTACTGAAAACAAAAAAGCACGCTAGACGACATAACTTCGGATGAGACGGCAATCAGAACAGGAAACTCAAGCAGCTTAAATCAGGAGCAGGCTATTTTTAATATTATAAATTCACTTTATTCCGGTCATATGAACAGTTTTAATGCTACATGCATTCTAATTCTATCCTACAGTTACGCATAAATGCTGTTTAGTTTAGTTTATCCATTCTTAATCTGGTAAGGTTGATCAGCCCATTGCAAGCAATTTGAAATCCATTTTTCTAATGAGACAGTTTGCTCACTATAGGAAAAGATAGAAGACATCTGAGTCATTAAAGACAATTCACCCAAAAATCAGCATTTTACTAGCATTTTTTAATGACCTGTTTATTTTAATTGTGTTGTTTTACCTGTGCACTGCTCAGTGGGGCAGTGGGTAGCACTGCTGCCTTGCAGCAAGAAGGTTCCGGGTTTGTTTCCTGGCCTGGGGTCTTTCTGCATGGAGTTTGCATGTTCTCCCTGAGCATGCGTGGGTTCTCTCCGGGTACTCCAGCTTCCTTTCCACAGTCCAAAAACATGACTGTTGGGTTAATTGGCTTCTCTAAATTCTCCTTACTGTAGGTGTGAGTGTGTGCGTGACTGCTTTTTTGTCCTGTTTGTCTCCGTGTTGCCCTGCGATGGACTGACGATCTGTCCAGGGTGTACCCCACCTCTTGCACATAGACAGCTGGATATAGGCACCAGCACCCCTTGCAACCCCACTTGGGATTAAGCGTGTAAGAAAATGGATAGATGTTTTACCTGTTTAATTACAACACTACAGAATAAGGTCCTTCCTGAATTAACTTGGATGAAGCACATCACAATGCTGGTAAAAATGACTGCATGTTTTTTGTTTCTTTGGAGAAGTTTTCAGGAGAAAGAAAAATGCGGAGTTCTGCACCTCTGAGTTATCATAATGTTAAAGCTGATGTGAAATTGACTTAATCCTGTTGTCTGCCTGACAGGGTGAAGTGATCAGCATAACCAGACGCGTTGACAATCAGTGGTTGGAGGGCAGGATCCCTGGAACGAGCCGGAGCGGCATCTTCCCGGCCAGCTACGTGCAGGTCAACAAGATGCCCCGCACCAAATACTCCACGGATGACTTCTCAGCAAGCCCCATGTCTCCTATCTCCCCTGGACCGCAGAGTCCGGGACGTCCACTCTTCTCTCCATCGCCGCGGTCACCTCTGTCTCCTTTCACCCCCCCGTCCTTCAGCCCCAAACCCGAGCACTCCCCCTTGAAACCATCGTCACCTGTCCCATATGGCAGCCCTGCCTCACAGTCACACTCCCCCAACCAGACACTGTCATCCCATCGTTCTCCCCACGGCACCCCCAATATGGTTCCCCCCACCAACCTAAACACCCACTCAGCAGCAGCACAATCCACAGTTAGACCGACTTCACCTTCTTTTCAGTCGTCAGCGTCCACGCACAGAGCAATGGCTCCTACAGCGAACACTCCCAGATACACCAGTCCCTCACAGGTCTGCTCTCTCCCACGCCTTCAGAAATCACAGCATGCCCACACCTGTCTTCTCCCCGTTTGTGTCAACACAGCGATATTTATGATGTCACATTACCTGATGTGAAGTTCTTTTCCTCCCCAGGGAGCAGTACCAAGCCCGTATGCTTCTTCTAATGCACATGTCAGCTCACAAGCACAGAACAATCCTGGTTCTATAGTGGGGCAAGGCCAGCCGTACGTCTGTCTTTTAACTTTGCTGCATCAAAGAACGTCCAACATTTATTTGGTAAAACTCTGCTTTTGTACCAATTTGTCTTGTTTTTCTGTTTTTTCAACTTTAGGTATAAAGCCATTTACAACTACAAACCCCAGAATGCAGACGAGCTGGAGCTTAGAGAAGGGGACGTTGTGCAAGTGATGGAAAAATGTGATGACGGCTGGTTTGTAGGTAATGAAAATTTCTCTTAAAAATCACATAAAATGATGCCTGTCTTAATTAACCCATAACAACCAAGACCTAATAATAGTTAACAGATAGGCCAGACCAAATCCAACCCAAAAGACATTCTTTGAGACAATTGTTTTTAAATTGCACCACCTAGTGTCAGGACTCTGTATTGTGACACATTTGCAGAAACATACAGTTTATAAAAAAATAAACATAAGAGTTTGCTCCTCTGTTTTAAATGTCTAAATAGCCTAATACAATTTAATAAAGTTTGCACTTTAAATAAGACTTATTTTACTTCCTAGTTACTCAGACTTTGCATGTGCATATGTTTGTATGTGCATATGTTAGGTGCTTCTCTAAAGCGCTGATTTATTAGGTGCATATTCAATCCAACAAAATTAGCTTGCTTATCTTTAGGTAGTGTCCAATATCTTTCTTTGTATTACATCTAAAGCTCCATCAGGTTGGATGTTAGATGTGTATCTGTCCAGAGCCATATTCATTCATATTTCTTTGTGAACTCAGGCTTAGCCACTCCAGGATGTTTTCAGAGCGGTTCTGATCCACTCTTTTGAGATCTTAGCACCTAACTTAAGCATATAACTAATGCACATAACATGTACACCTAACATAAGTACATAACATAAGCGCATAACACATACACAAAAACATATACTGTATATAAACACATTAACATATTTTTGGCACTAATGGACGTCCATAAGACACACCAACATTTCTTAATCAGCCACCGTTGCTTAATAAGCTGCAGTACATTTCTGAAGATAATGCGATGAGCTTCCATAAAGTTGTATGTGAGCTGTGGGATGTTACACAGATGTGACTTGAGGAAAATGAAAGCATTTCTAGAACACTGAGATTAATCTCTTTGAGTTCTCGTAAGTAGAAGCTCTGAATGGGAGTGATGCTTTAGTTTACCCTGGGTAGCAAGGGGGTACCCCCCTCAAATAATGATAAAAAATGATCAGTCATAGGTTCTTATTAACTGAGGAGTTCAGACAGGGAGAGTGAGCGCCCTCGTGTGTTCGGCACAGAGTAAACCCTGTAACTTTGTTCATGCGCTGAGGCTTCCTACTTATGTTCATAAAGTTATTTGATCAAAGGTTCAACCTTGATTTCTTTTTTTTATATCTTGATTGAATTCGTACTATCAAGCTTATAATCTAAAGTGATTTTGCTTTAAACAGGGACTTTTTGCTGATTGTTGTATGCTTAAAATATTTATCAACAATATTCAAAATCCTTCTTTATTAATAGCACATCGTTCTACATTTAACTGAAGCCACATAAATATAGAGGAATGTCAGCTGTATGGAAACGATGCAACATGCCCATGTTTATTTCAAGAACCCCCTCCATTTCTTATTGCACATTTAATTATTATTTAGTTTGTACCTTTCTTCAGAATCATTACATCGTTGTTATATTTGCTCAAAGCAACATTAAAACAACATCATTTCTGACAGTAATTTAAATCGAAGCTGAAATATTTTTGTATCAGAGCCGCCCCCCCATCTTCTGCACATTATAACATGTTAGATTGATATAACAGATTTCAAATGTATCATTTTTTCTTTTCCTGCTTTATGACTTGTGATTGCACTCTTGTCTCCAGGTACGTCAGAACGGACTCATACTTTTGGGACCTTTCCCGGGAATTACGTGACACCAGTCTGACTTCCTCACTTGCTACCTGCCAACACTCAATGGGACTCATATGAGCACAGCTAATGATCGTTTCCTTGTGCCATTATAGATATGATGCGTAGGGTCTGCATGTGCACTCTGTATTCCAGAAGAGAAAGGGTTTCTCTCCTCGCTCACTACCTTTGCATGTGTGAGCACATACTGAATGAGAGCGTGTGATTGGAGGCAGTTTTTTTACACTTTTGAGAGGAAAGCTGATGTGACTGATTCATATGCACAAAACGAACATTTGATCTTCCTTGTTCCACAATCTTTTCCAGCTGCAGGAAATTTGCATTCCTTCCCTCTGAACAGCACTGCTTCCTCTGAGGTCCTTAAAAAACACCGCTGCCCTCAGCTTCTTGTCACCATAGTGCCTACACAAACCACAGCTGGGATAAAAATAAAATAAACAAGAACAGGGATTTTTGTAGCATTTTACTGGATTATTAATGTTTCTTTTACACATTTTCCCCCCAGATTTTCTTACAGATGTCTGAAATAGCTGCAGCAGTTTTTGAAGATGCATCAGAAACATCTGTAGGACAGTAAGGGCTCTGACATATCATCTAATTACTGCCTTCCACAAGTCGAATGCATCTACCGGTTTCTTTTATCATAAAGTGTGCTTGTTGTTTTAAGGTTTGAGACTGTTGGTGTCTTCCTGCAGTTAAAGTAAAGAACTCCATCCTACTCTCTACTATGAAATAAGTATTCATAACTACAACAACAGCAGCTGTGTTAATAAAGTGGTTAGATCAAGAATGCTGTGATGGTTCAGCAGGCTAATTCCAATACTGTATGTGCCAAAAATAGCCTAGGAGGTTATGCATTTGTTCAAATGTACATGAAACATTCCCAGCTCACTCTTTGCTATGTTTGCAATGATCACTTTTGTAATATGTTCTTCTTTGATATTTTAAGATTATTATGAAAGCAGTATTCAAGAAAATTATATGTATTTGGTTCTAACATAACATTGTTAAGTTGTAAGAGTTTAACTAAAATGTGTCATCCTTAAGTCACGGCTTTACTGTCATAATAAATTGAATTTAGTAGCCACATGAAATGATTGTAAAGATTGTAACAGTTTGTAAAACTGAAAGATAATATATATTTGCTTAAAAGAAACATTGTATTGCATATCTATGGTACGTGGTTTATATAAAAAGTTGATTAAATATTAGAGTGATCTGAAAAGTGGTTTCTGTTCAGTAATTTATTTTGTTGCATGCTTCAGTGATTTCACATATTATTTGTAATAGATGTTCAGTGATGCTTCTGGTAAAATGAATGCAGAAACTATATTTTTGGATGACGGGCTCTGATTGGAAATTGAAAAGTAAGACAAAAATATGAGATAGAATATATGCATAGATTTCATGCACATTTCTTTTTTTTTTCTTCTTAGACACCGAATGACCACTAAAGACTGGAAACACCCTAAATTTTTCAATCCAATAAAACTCCATCAGAAGCTCATAAAAGTTTTCTACAGCAGCACATTTGCTTCATAGCACTCACATTAAATCATTCAATTATGTCATTTATTGGTTACCTGGGTGAATCACTCTAGGATTATATCACACGGTTTGTGTAGATAGGAAACTTTATTACAAGATTGTGAAATTAAAGGTCACCTTACAGGTTTAGATAGGTTGGGCCATGAAGTGATCAATCAGCCCAACTATTCAGTTGTCAACATTAAGGCGGCTCTCGGAATAATAAAGCTACCATTGTGATTATTTTTGAATCAGCTTTCCATCAGAAGAATGTGATACTATTTCAAGTCCTTTTTTTAAAACTCTAAAGAAACTTTGTAAACCTGTTTTCAGGTAACAGACACGTTTTTTCAGTCTGCTTCTGTTGCAACTCTAGTTTTTAGACAGCAGAGGGCGCAGCTGGTTCTGGATCAATAGTTCAATTATGCGCTGCTCCCTCCTTTGCTCTGCACTGAGCTCTGTGGGACGACCCGCCCCTCACTTTCAGCTTGTGTCAACTTTTTTTATTTTGGTAACGGCACATGGCACCGCGAGCTCCTCCTGGTGACATCACAGCGCGCGCGCTCCCTCACACCTGGCATTCTTACCTTCGACGCGACAGGCAGAGAACAGACAGCTAAAGCGCTCCGGTGTTTTAAAGTTCCTAATTTGGTGACAGTGGCTGCATTACTGTAGCCACAAACGCTACAGACTCTTTGCTTTAGTTATTTTTTTGTTATTTTAGTTATTTTTTTCAAACAACAATACAGGGCACTTTGACAGGTGGAGGAGAAGACATTCCAAATTTCACAACCTTCTACTTGGTAAGTTGCTCCCCTGATTTGTTTAAAAGCATAAACATGTATTTTTGTGCAGCACAGTTCTAGTGTTTAACATACTAATATAATCCCGGATATCTAAGTTTATTATCGGTTTTAAGCCTTAGGTGCCTAAAAAAGGTTTGTAAGAATGTGGTTTCACAATATGTGTGATGAACTGTCTGTGCTGAAAGATAACTTGCCAAAGGGTAACTGAAAGTAAACATTAGAGGACCACACTGAGTTAGTCTACAACATCAATGTCCAATATGTGTCTGATTATAAAAATATATGTGTATGATATAATATCTGATTTTAAAAAGTCAAGAGGCTGATATTTGAAATAGAAGTACTCAAAGATTTTAATGTTTAAACAACCCAACCAGAGCTTTATTGAATAAGAAAAATAAAAAAAAGAAGCTACATTTGAAACTGAAGTTCGCTTCCGATTTGTGATGCTTTTAAAGGGCTATTCCACCTATTTCCCTCACTTTTTCCCCCTCTTTTTGTGCGTCTTTAATCTGCTCTTGCTCTAAAACTAAAGTACATAGAAAGTTTGAACCTGGTTTGGATCATTGTAAACTGATAAAATAATCTTTAAAACACAGATTTTTTTTTAAAGCTTTATATGATTTGTGAACGTTTAATAGAAGGCCAAAAGTGTTTTTTTTTTTTAAATCAGTTCTAACCTGGACTGACCTAGCTCTCTATATTACTTAGTTCATACCCATACTAAATAATTTCATGCTGAAGCAGAGTCTGTAAAACACAGTTTGTAAAATTTATGGTTAATGGCCGTATTAGTCTTTTTTGCATCTTAATTCCACTTGAATCAGTCCAAACGCTACAGCAGGTTAAAACAACTTGTAGAAAACCTAAACTATGCTAAAGGGGTATATGTTTCTGCTTTTTTGAGAATCTCTTCGATAAAATTCAGTCTACTTAAAAGCAAAAAATGAAATGTACATCAAAATCGTGTTTCGATTTATTGATAATGCTCCTACAATTTTCTTTTGTAAAATTATTTGCATGTCTCAATATCTGTTGTCATCGAATTGAAGCACCTGCTAAGGTTTAAACTGCTCTACCACTGCGTTTATTTGCTGGATATTCTTCATTACTTTGCTTTATATCATTGCCATACATAATCATCCAAGTTTTTTTTTTCTCTCCATTGGATTAGACTAGTTTATTGAGACTGGTCTCTTTTTTCTGTAATATGGAAATATTTCTAAATTCTGTTTGTTATTAAATCCAAAAGTTAAATAAAGTCTATGTAAAGTACCAATAAATATGTGTTCTGAGATTGTCAACCCACAGAAATATCTGTTGTTAAACCTTCAGCCAAATTTAAATGATCAAATGACTAAATCTAGCCATGCAAGATTAAGTCCTAAAAGTATTTCTGCCATGAAACATTGGGGGTGTGTCCGCTGGAATGTACTGCAATCACACCCATGTGAAAGAACTTTCCCATTTAATGCGGTATGGGCTTGCCATAATACGTGGGAAAGTAGAGAAGAAACATTTCAGGATGAATTTCATACACAGAATTCAGCTGTGTGACGTCACAGTGCTAAGCTGAATGACTGCCCAAGCTGAATGAAATTAATGATAAAATTCTCAATGGTTGTCGACTTTTGGCATTAGAACAAAACATTTATATTCTGTTTAAAAGAAAATGGAATAATTCCCTCTACATAGACCTAAATGTCCAAACCAGAGCTGATAACTTGCTTCAGACAGAATAACGACCAACATGCATTTGATTTACGGTAGTGTAAAAGCAACATTTCCAAGACTTCCGAGGAAACTATGTTGTATTTGTCTTTCATGTTTGACAGGTATTATATTATTTGATCTGGTTGTGTCATCATCAAAATATGCTTGGAACTGACTTCTCTTCACCTTACCAAAGAATGTCCCGTAAAATAACAAAAGACGATCACTGCATGGGTGAGCTCTCCTTTTAATAGATGGAAATTGGAGCTTCTTGTCTTCCATTAGAATCTCAGCAAGAGACTTTACTAAAATCAACTTTAATCAAACTTTCACAAATCAGATAAAAGGTTTCAAAAATTCCCCAACTCTGTTCTAAAGTTTCTGATATTCATGTAGAATAATCTTAGCCTGACGTAGTCCTAATCAATTCTAGTCAGAATATGAGTCTGATACTGCTCCATAGAGCTGTGATTATGGGGCGTGTTTCGAACCAACCAGGGAAAAAAATGCCTCTGCACTCAATTGGATAGACCTACAACCAATAAGAGCAACGGAGTGCGTGACGTATGTTAAGCGACGCATAGTTGTTGTCAACAAAAATCAAAGCGTGCAGTTGCACGCCTAGAATAAGAAGATGAGCCTTGATCGCGTTTCTCTGTTCCTCTTTTAAAATTAATTTGCTGTTGATATCTTCTAGAACAGACCTAATAGCAGAATCTACTCACCTAAACTCTCCAGCGGGAGCCATTGTTGTTGTCACCCATGCGCGCTTTGGTTACGTGGTTGATTACGTTACTGTTGATCAACTGTCCATCATCGTATAAAGCCCGCCCTGACAATTTGATTGGATCGCCAGAGAGTGGGCGATCATACCCGCGCTACTATTGAGCAATGCCAGACCGAACTTCCCGACCTCAAACCTTGTGGGCGGGACTAAGTTCGGAATGGCACCCAGGCTAGAATAATCTAGTCCCGGTTTAAACTGTCGAAGTACTATATTTTTTACCAGGAACAGTTCTAACATGGCTGAAATGCAAAAACATTTTATTAGCCCCTTATTGAATTTTCACAACTCAAATAGAGCTTTCGCAAATTCCAAAAGGCTGTTTTAAAGATTCTGCTATTAGTGTACAATAATCTTGTCCATGTTTGAATAATTTTTGATCTACAGAAGATTCAAGATACACAAGCTGAAGAAAGGTGGTGGAATGGCCCTTTAAATGTATTACAAATCAGAAACCAACTTCAGCTTCATGCTTAGAACCTACTTTGATGCCTAAATGGGGATGAAACTGTTAAGTCTTTTTTTGGGGGTAAACTTAAAATGACTTCCTCTAACAAACGACCTGCCACAGACATATCTGTTATTTTTGCATCTTGAATATCATTTAGTTCTTAGAAAAATTTGAATCAAAAGTTTAGAAACTTACTTGGGCTGACATGTGGCCCCCTAACTATGTCTCGTCTGACTTTACGTTTAATTTGGCTGTCCTTCCTACCTTAATAATATGCCGAAGAGTCGGCAATCTCCATGGGAACAGATCTGGTCGACCATGATGCTGCTAGTTGTGTGGGCCAGATTTTTGAAACCCTTAAAAGACACATTAAGAAAAAAGCAGATGGAGAAATGTTTAATAACCTGGGATACCTGCTCATGCCTTTCCTGTCTCTGTTCAGAGAGGTTCTTTCATTTGGTAGTCAGTTTGATTTGTGGCAGAGCCGAACCAGGTGCAAGCCTCTGAAGCTTTCAGACACATTACATCAGACCAGCAGCTGTTTCTGTTATCCCCCTTAACCTTTGAAATTGCCTGTTGAGCAGTAATGACTCTAAATGTGCTTTCATACTGTACTTTAGAAATGCCATCCTTCTACTGCTGCATTTCTTTCCTATGTTTTGCTACATCTCTGTATAGCCATGCTCCCCTCCTGGTCTACTGCACAGAAGGCCTGTAGAAATAACTGGATCTGACTGTGGGCTCAGCAGATGGAAAACTACTTGCGGGGTTTCAGAGCAAAGCCCAGAAGAGTCCCAGTAAAACAGCCTTGTTCTCAAACCTCCTGTGATTGCAGTTGGAATATGTTTTCCGTTGTGTCTGGCAGTCTTTCATCTGCATGTTCTACCTACCTTCCTCTAACTCTTTGTTTTGGTTTTCTGACCGTTTGCAGCTTTGCTTGCTCGATGAAGACTCAGTTTAGTCATCCCAGAACCAAAGGCAGTCGCACTGTAATTTTAGATGAAAGAATGCAGTGGCTTTTCAAGAAAACATGCAGACGATGATTGAAAGATGTCTTTTGTTTTGCAGTTTAAAGTGAAGGAAGCATTCAGACATTTTTAGATATGCATTTTCTTCTGCTTTATCCTCCAACACTTATGCAAGGAAACTTTTGTATATGCATGCTTGGTGTTAGCAGGATGTATGTAGGTTTTAGCTTAGAAAGAGTTTTGGCAGTTTCTTTTTAAGTATTGTGCCTGGTTTAGGAGTCAAGTTTTGCACAAATACAGACAAACAAATGCTCTGAAATGTGCAAATACTCTGCATTTGCAGTGAATATGGAAAGCATGCAGTTTCAGCAGCTTATTTTAAGGATGCATCATGAAAACTTTTGCAAAAAAAATCAGCAGGGCATGTAGAGGATGTGGTTAGCTGCCCTGATTATGAAACAGTCAAGGCAGTTGTCTGATCCGCTTAGTGAGAACAGCAGAATGAAGATCTTCAAACATGATACTAGGAGTTTTGAGGACAGTTAAAGCCTTCTTCCTCTTGGCTTCATCAATGAATGCTGTAAATTTCACATCAGTTCTCTGTTGCTTAGCTCCAGGTGATAGTTTTGGATGTGCTTGTTAAAAGATGGGCCTGCACCCTTGAAGTTTTCTTCTTTGAAAAGGGAGTAACCCACAAAAATGACAAGTATGTTTCAGTTTATTATTAATGCGCTGACACATGGGCAATTAAGCATGGTGACCAACACTAAACACAAAGGGTATTGAACCAACACCCCTTCTTGACATCATGAAACCTGTCTTGTTTTCTCATCTCCCTGCGGACTGCAGCTATATCTGACCAAATGGGTGTGATTTGGTGAGTCCACAGAGACTTATTCCTCTCTGCTCTGCCCAGGGAGAGGCTTTGCTGCTGCATTCCTCTGCTTTTTGTTCACAGGGTGTGAGTCCAGGTATAGTTGGTTGAGCTGTTGCTGTTGTGCACAACACCCAAGCTAGAGTCAGTAAAAGATGGCATCACTGAAATGGGTTGTGGAAAGTTCACACTTGGTGAAAGGCAAAT